GCCCTGGACTGCCAGTTGGCACAATCTTTGGCTCACGGCTGGAGGGGCCTCACTACAACCTCTGCCTCCCAGGTTCAAGCAATTCTCCTGCCTCATCCTCCCCAGTAGCTGGGATTACAGACGTGTGCCACCACACCCGGCTAATTTTGTATTTTTAGTGGAGATGGGGTTTCTCCATGTAGGTCAGGCTGGTCTTGAACTCCCGACCTCAGGTGATCCGCCCACCTCGGCCTCCCAAAGGGCTGGGATTACAGGTATGAGCCACCGCACCTGGCCATTTTTGTATTTTTTATAGAGAAGGGGTTTCACAATGTTGCCCAGGCTGGCCATGAACTCCTGGCCTCAAGCAGTCTTCCAACCTCGGCCTCCCCAAATGCTGAGATTATCTGACCTATGCTGACATTTTTTTAAGGAGACACGGTCTTGCTCTGTTGCCCAGGCTGGAGGGCGGTGGGGTGATCATAGCTCACTGTAGCTCCCAGGCGGCACTGATGCTGCTCAGTTGAGAACCACATTCTGAGCTTCATCCACTCTCAAGATTCTCAAGAAAGCCTGGATTCTCCAACTCCTGGGCTCAAGTGATCCTCCAGCCTCAGTTTCCCAAGTAGCTGGGACTACAGACACACACCACCATGCCTGGCTATGAAATTCTTAATTTCTCAACAAAAGGCCCTACACTAATACTTTGTATTGGGCCTGGCAAATTCTGTAGCTGGTCTAGCACACAAATTCTGAGAAGAAAATTTACAGATACCCAGCATGCATACCAAACTGGGACTAACAGTTCAATCCAACACCTTACTTAACTTTTCTTTTTTTTTTTTTTTCCAAGACAGAGTCTCAACCAGGCTCTGTCACCCAGGCTGGAGTGCAGCTGCGAGATTTCGGCTCACTGCAACCTCCGTCTCTCGGGTTCAAGCGATTCTCGTTTCAACCTCCCGAGTAGCTGGGATTACAGGCGTGTGCCACCACACCTGGCTAATTTTTGCATTTTTAGTAGAGACGGGGTTTTGTCATGTTGCCCAGGCTGGTTTCAAAGTCCTGGGCTCAAGTGATCCACCCGCCTTGCCTCCCAAAATGCTGGGATTACAGGCATGAGCCGCCACGTCTGGCCTCCAACACCTTACTTTTCTAAGGAAACCAAGTATCTCACATTAATTGTACTGATTCTTAGAGTCAAGCAGACCTGGGCTGAGTCCCGAGGCTGCAACTGACCAGCCATGGGATCACAGGCTCACTGTGTATTTAAGATAGCTTAGCCACTATTTCCTGTTTCCCCAGTTATGAAAGGAGGAGGTTGAACTGGGTGGGGTATCCTCAGCCCTGATAACATACATCAGTCACTGAGGGAGGGGAGATTAATATTCTGAATCAATTGGTGTGGGGTGGAGCTAGGGGGTTTGAAAGCTCCCAGGAGCATCTCATGAATAGCCAGGGTTTGGAACCACTTCTCAGCCTTCAGGAACCTTCAGGCTCTGGCACTTAGAGCTTGGATAGCTTATTCTAGGACTTCTGCAGAAATATCTTGAACCTTCCTGCAAGTTCCCAGGCAGCTTGGAGACCTCCTTTCTCAAGACATTTGTGTCCTACATCCCCACAGGGCTCCAGCCCTCCTCAGTTTCAGATTTTCTTTTCTTTTTATTTTTTTTTTCCGAGATAGAGTCTTCCTCTGTTGCCCAGGCTGGAGTGCAATGGAGTGATCTCGGCTCACTGCAACCTCCACCTCCCAGGTTCAAGTGATTCTCCTGCCTCAGCCTCTCAAGTAGCTAGGACTACAGGTGCATGCCACCACGCTCGGCTAATTTTTGTAGTTTTAATAGAGATGGGGTTTCACTATGTTGGCCAGGCTGGTCTCGAACTCCCGACCTCAGGTGATCCGCCCATCTTGGCCTCCCCAAGTGCTGGGATTACAGGCGTGAGCCACTGTGCCCAGCCAGTTTCAGATTTTCTAAGGTTCTGCAACTGCCCAAGGAACTGGCCTGAACCACCAAGAAATCTTCCCCAGAAAGGAAAGACAGCCCATGTTCATGCTAGGACAACACAAAAGCCTATTTTGTTTTGCAATGTAACTGTTCTTCAGGATAGCTTTTAAGAAAATAGGCTCTGGCATGTGGATAGGCAAAAATAGAATAAAAATTCCTAGCAAGTACAGTGTAATCCTGTTAGCATAAGAGCGTGCATTGGCTGGGCTCAGTGGCTCACGCCTGTAATCCCAACACTTTGGGAGCCCTAGGTGGGCGGATCACAAGGTCAGGAGATCGAGACCATCCTGGCCAACATGGTGAAGCCCTGTCTCCACCAAAAATACAAAAATTAGCTGGGTGTAGTGGCGGGCGCCTGTACTCTCAGCTACTCAGGAGGCTGAGGCAGGAGAATCGCTTGAACCCCGGAGGTGGAGTGCAGTGATCACTCCACTGCACTCCAGCCTGGGCAACAGAGCGAAACTCCATCTCAAACAACAACAACAGCAATAACAAAAAAAAGAGTGTGCATTTATGTCTATAACTACGTAAGTATAAATGAATAGAAGAGAGATCAGGAAGGGTGGCTGGCCACCACTATGTTGACAGTAATTCTCTTTTTTCCTTTGCCCTTTTCAGTTTGAGTTTTTAGTAAATAGGATTACTTATTTTTATCATCTGAGAATAAAGCTATTTCCTTTTTGAGCTACAGCGGTAATTTACATCTAAGTGGGAAGGCTCATGAAGTTTGGGGTTCTTTTATTTTTCTAAGTCTAAAATCTATTATCTAGTAAGTTGCTGGTGTGCTAGAATAACGATGAACAAGAAACATTTGTTCATGAACCTTTTATAAAAATAGAACACGTTCTAAGGAAGCCATTCATCCTCATTTTAAAAATGACTTTTAAAAAAATCTAAGAAGCAGGGTGTACCCTCCTGTGACCTCCCCAGCCTGGGGTCTGGAGCTGAGAGGGAGGACGCTGACCCCAAGTCACCCAGCCCTGGGACCGGTTCTGCTCCGTAAGTGGAAAGGATCTGGAGCCAGGGCTGGAAGAATTCCCGTGGGGACTCGGAGATTCAGCACCGTGGGGGAAGGGAGGGGAGTGGAGGGTGCTGGACAGTTGCAGCAGGGAGGAGAACCGGTGTCACTTTCGCTGAACCTGACCGCAGCCCCCGGCGGAGCGGCGGCCCTTATATAGACACCCCACTGGCGCTCCTACTCCGCGTGCCAAGGTCAAGGAGGGAGGTCACACCTGCGCGCAGCCAGAACAGCTGCACCGACCCCCACCTGCACCCTCGCCACAGCCGGCGCCCCTTGCCCAAGTTCCTGCAGCTCTGACCCAACAAGGAGCCCCGACCTTTCCTCCACCCCTCCCCCAAGCACCTGTTCCCCCTCCTCTAAACCGGCTCACGCCTCTCCTTCCCTTCCCCCAGCTTCATCGTCCTGGAAGCTTCTCCCCCGGGCTCACCCCGGCGTGGGAGAACCCCATGATTCTCGCGCCTGACTACTCCCACGATGCAATCCTTGAACCTGTCCCCCGCTCCCTCCACCACGCACTGGCTTCCCCTCTCCGCGACCCCCAGCTGCCCCGGCCCGCGCCCCCGGCTGCCGGCCCCCTCAGCCCCCCGCCCCGGCTCACCTGGCTCATACTTGAGGTAGAGGATGGAGACGATGAAGTAACTGAGGTCGAAGACGGGGAAGAGCGGCACCCGTGAGAAGCTGAGCGCCAGCTCGCCCAAGCTCAGCGCCGAGAGCAGCTCCATGGCGCCCGCCCGCCCGCCGGGTGCCACCCGGGGCCCCGGTCTCGTCCGTCCCGCCGCCCGCGGCCCGGCGACTGCGCCCCCGCAGCTTGGCCCGCCCCCGCCCGCCAGGCGCCACCCCAGGCCCGGCCCCCGCGGGAGAGGAGGGGCGACGGCCCACATCGGGACAGGTGGTGGGGACGCCCAGCACCACGGACGGAGCTGGACAGTCGGACGTCCCAGGCGCTGACCCTACTGCCATCGCGACCCCGTTCCGCCCAGCGAGGCGGGGTGCGGGGCACCCCTGCAAGGCGAGGGAGGCTGGGGGGCTCCCCATTCTGGGCATCCCACGCACGCGGGACGCCCGTTCCCAGGGGGCCGGATAAGCCAGGACTTTGTCCCCGTGGGCTCAATTAGGACCCCGATCTTCGGTGGAGCCCAATGAGGACCCCCACGCCCTGGTGGGACCCCATGAATCAGAACCCCTGCTCCCCGTGGAGATCGGTTAGGACCTCAGTCCTCTGTGGAGCCCCGTCAAGACTTTCCTGCCCCATAGGGTCCGTTCGATCAGGAACCCCGTCCTCGGTGGGGCTCCGCAAGTCAGGACCCCCGTGTCTTGTTGGGGGCAGCTCAGTGGGGACCCCCGTTCCCCATGGGGCCCAGGAGGATCTCATTTTAGAGCCCAGTTGGTTGGGGCACCCGTTTCTAGGGACCCCACTGCGTCAGGACCCCGCACCCTGTGCAGCTCAGGAGTCAAAGGATTCCTTTTCTCCAGAAGCCCAATTTGAGACCCCATAAAGTGAACAGGCATTGCTGCCCAGCTAATCCTACGGCACTAAAGATCTCACGCATGCGCGGCACGCTTCGAACACGTGACCCAATCCCAACCCCAGGAGACCCTGCCCCTTCCATTCTGGCTCTCCGGGCCTCCCCAGCAAGGTGGGGCGCTCGCGCTCCCCTAAGGGGGCCTGGCCTGCAGAGGGTGGGACCTTGATCTTCGATTGGCCCAGTCCTCGCCAGTGTTGCTTTAGGATTGGTCGGCTTGTGCTCCTCTCCCCTCCCTCCCTGGGGCTTCCGCTTCCGGTTCTGACGAACGCTTTGGCCGTAACGATGATCGGAGACATCCTGCTGTTCGGGTAATTAGGGGGACCAGAGGCTGGGAAGAGAGGGCCAGGCAGGACGCGGGGGCGCCCCTAGTAACTGTAATTCTCCCTCTGCAGGACGTTGCTGATGAATGCTGGGGCAGTGCTGAACTTTAAGCTGTGAGTAGGCTGCGGCCGGACTGTGGCTCCATCCGGGAAACCCGTACCCCCGCCCTCATAAGCGTGATCTCGGCGCATTTCTCAGGCCCCGCCCCCAAGCCGCAGGCCCCGCCCTATCCGCCCTCTGTCCACGCCTCCAGCCTGGGTTAATCTTCCTCGCCCCTGAGCGACCTTAAACCCATACTCTCTGTTCCTTGGGTGTCCCTCTGTTCACCTTCCTGGAGAGCTCAAGACCCATCCTCCAAGAAATAGCCCCACCCCGGACCCTCAGCACTGCTCCCGCACTGTCGGGCCGCTTTATAAACTGTCGGTGGCTGCTGACCTGGCTGTGATTGTCCGGGCAGTGGTGGCCCAGAGAGGGACATTGAACCGTCCGAGGTCACACAGCAAGTCAGCGGCAGGGCCAGGGCTGAAACTTAGTGTTTGTGGCCTTCTGAGCTGGGGGTCAGGGGGCTGAGGCCTCTATGTCCCATTGAAAGTGGACACTGTCTGCTCCTCTTTGTAGGAAAAAGAAGGACACGCAGGGCTTTGGGGAGGAGTCGAGGGAGCCCAGCACAGGTAAGGTCTTCCTGGACCCTTGAATTGCATGGTCCACTTCAGAGAGGACAGTTTTGTTTCGCCAGGTTCTACCCTTGTTTTCTTTCCTTTTCTTTAGTTTTTTTTTTTTTTGAGACAGAGTCTTGCTCTGTCGCCTAGGCTGGAGTGCAGTGGCCGGATCTCGGCTCACTGCAAGCTCCGCCTCCCGGGTTCACGCCATTCTCCTGCCTCAGCCTCCCGAGTAGCTGGGACTACAGGCGCCCGCCACCGCGTCCGGCTAATTTTTTTTGTATTTTTAGTAGAGACAGGGTTTCACTGTGTTCGCCAGGATGGTCTCGATCTCCTGACCTCGTGATCCGCCCACCTAGGCCTCCCAAAGTGCTGGGATTACAGGCGTGAGCCACCGCACCCGGCCTTCTTTCGTTTTTTAGCACAAGGTCTGGCTCTGTTGTCCAGGTTGGAGTGCAGTGGTGTGATCATGGCTCACTGCAGCTTCGACCTCCTGGGCTAAAGTGATCCTTCCATCTCAGCCCCCTTAGTAACTGGGATTACAGGCGTGTGCCACCATGCCAGGCTAAATTTTGTATTTTTTTGTAGAGATGGGGTTTCTCCACCTTGCCCAAGCCGGTCTCGAACTCGTGGGTTCAAGTGATCCCCCCACCTTGGCCTCCTGAAGGGCTGGGATTACAGGCATGAGCCACGAGTTTTCTCTTTCATTGAGCGTGTGTGTGAGTGGGAGATGACTCTGATAATGTGCTGTCCTTTCTGCCTACCTCTGTCATCTACTTCTTTCTCCCACCAGACCTCCCTGATGTGAGCACTCACATCACTTCCTACTGTTATAATTTTCTGTATGTTTGCTGTCGTCTGGCTAATGTCTGCCCCTCACATTTGACCATAAACTTCAGAGAAGAGACCCTAGCTTGGCTTGTCCCATCCTTTGTCCTTGCCATACCAGTCCTCCGATGCCTGTGAATGAATGAATGAACAACCTCACACATAGCTGTTGCTTTCAGAGTGCTGCAGACCTGCCACGTTTAAAATTAGATGCCAACATTAGATTTTTAATCAGGCGATTTTATATAAAAATTCAGATGTCTGATTTTTCTTGAAAAACTGGAACATTCTGCAACTCAGGATTCAAGAGAGCTCTTGACATCTGTTCAGTGCAGTTGAGGACTCTGAGGAGATGGGGCCTGTCGACTCTGCCTCATCCTAGCCCTAACCTCTTCATATGTCTATCATCTGCCTGGGCCCTAGAGGCCCCAGAATTTACACTCCCTACTGAATGTAATTGTGTAGCTATTTGGAGTCTTAAGGGGATCTGTACATGACTGTTGTATCCATTCATTAATTCTTTCATTCACCAGGTATTTGAGCGCCTCACACATGCTGGCTACTGTGCTAGGTGCTGGGATTCAGTGGGGGTAAGACAGATGGAGTGGAACTTACCGTGGGGTGGGACACATGGTTTCCAAGCGGGGAATAGATGGTGACAGAGGTGATGTTAGGTAACAGGGAGTCACAGGATGGTGATGGGGTTGCTCTCCTGCTGGGGTGTGGAAGGGAAGGCCATTTGAGGAGGTGGCGTCACAGTCAAGGCGGTGAATGCCATGGTGGAACACTACCCAAGGATGGGGGAACCTTGAGGAACAGAGGTTTTCTTCTTTTAGAAACAGGGTCTTGCTGTGTTGCCCAGGCTGGAGTGCAGTGGCACAGTCATAGCTCACTGCAGCCTTGAACTCCTGGGTTCAAAAGATCCTCTTGCCTCAGGCTCCCAACTAGCTGGGACTGCAGGCAGTTAATACCACCCCTGGCTAATTTTCTAAATTTTTTTGTAAAGATAGGCATCTCACTGTGTTAACCAGGCTGGTGTCCAACTCTTGGCCTCAAACGATCCTCCCACCTCAGCCTCCCAAAGTGCTGGGATCACAGCCGTGAGCCACCGTGCCTGGCTGAGCTGAGATTTTGAAGACCCTCCAGCAGCTCTCCTTTTGGGGGGCCTGCCCCTGGGTGCTGACCTCGTTAGGTGCTTCCTGTTAGTGTTGCATTCTACCTCCATTCCTAAAAGGTAGTAGTCACTTTCCAGTTCCCAGAACTGGAAACTGGAAGCAGATCAGGAAACTGAGGGTCAGAGACGTGGCTCAACTTTTTTGTGGCCACATAGCAAATCAGTGAGAGAATCAGGATTAGAACCTGGGTTTTTCTGCCTCTAGCAGTTGTGCACTCAATCACTAGACCATCTGTCCATCTGTTCATTTATCCATCCATTCATACATTGACTCAGCAGCCATGTGTTACCCACCACGTGGAAGGCACTACCAGGCCCTGGGGTTGCACTGTACAGATCCGAATCAGAGCTCTGGTGGGCGGGAGATTTGGCACAAAGTGGCGGGAGCATCAGTGACAGGGATGCCAGGGAGGACACCAGTGCTCTATCAGGAGCTTCCTGCTTTGCTCTCTCTCCAGTCTCCTTCCAGCCCAGATGCTGCACCCGCTGTAGGAGCTGCTCCTTGCTCTCCATCCTCTTCGCCTGCCTTAACTGTAATACCATAGTGGCTGCATTTATTGAGAGCGTCATGTGTGCCAGGCAGTGTGCTGAGGTCTTCCTAGCTGCCTGACACCCCTATTGACATAAGAGGGAATGAGCATAGATAGTGCAGGGATGGGCCCAGGTCACTTGTGCGGAAGGACAGAGGCAGGATTTGAGCTCATGTTTGTTAAACAGACCATGTTTGAGGTCAGAACTTGGAGCTCTGGCACTTCCTCAGAAAGGCGTTTTTTTTGTTGTTTTTTTTTGTTTGTTTGTTTGTTTTTTTGAGGTGGAGTCTCGCTGTGTTGCCCAGGCTGGAGTGCAGTGGTGCCATCTTAGCCCCCTGCAATCTCCGCCTCCCGGGTTCAAGCAGTTCTCCTGCCTCAGCTTCCCTATTAGCTGGGACTACAGGCACCCACCACCATGCCCAGCTAATTTTTGTATTTTTAGTAGAGACAGGGTTTTACTATGTTGACCAGGCTGGTCTTGAACTCCTGACATCAGCTGATCCGTCTGCCTTGGCCTCCCAAAGTGCTGGAATTACAGACTTGAGCCACCACGCCCGGCTGGAAAGGCTTTTTCTGATCTCCCACCCTTCCCCATGCACATGCCATATTGGGTCTCTGCAGTGTGTGTTCCCGGGACACCTAAACTTTCCCACCAGAGCAGTCACGTGGGAATATTTGTTTAGTATTTCTCCTCCCCGTATGCTCGTTGGGGCAGAGCCACCGGTCTTCGTTTCTTCCTGTATCCCCTGTACACTGCTGCTGCCTGGAATGAGTAACCTTTTTTTGTGTTTTGAGACAGAGTCTCGCTCTGTTGCCCAGGTGTGCAGTGGCGTGATCTCAGCTCACTGCAACCTCCACCTCCTGGGTTCAAGTGATTCTCGTGCCTCGTTTGGAACCCAGGTCTCTGGAGTCTTCACATACTAAATTGCCTTGCCGGCCTACTTTTTTCATACTTTTAGTAGAAACGTGGTTTCACCATGTTGGCCAGGCTGGTCTCAAACTCCCGACCTCAGGTGATCCACCTGCCTCCGCCTCCCAAAGTGCTGGGATTACAGGTGTGAACCACTGTGCGTGGCCTGCAGTGAGTAATGTTTGATTGGCATCTATTGATGGTGGGAGGGCCTGTTTTCACGATCCTGTGCTAGGGGAAGGGTCTTGCTGAGCAGCGCCTCTCAGACTTCCTGGAAACAGACCAAGCGCTTAATGTTTCTAGTCTGTGCTGGATCAGCCGTGTATACAGGTTGTGCTGCATGTAACTAACCCCGTCGTTTGGATAATACCAGGCTCGTCTAAACCGTGTTCAGCAAGATGGTGTGTTCAGCACAGGCTCGGATGGAGCAGGAATGTCAGGTTGTCAGGTTGTCATCCCTGAAAAATAGAAATTTCTGGGCTTGTGTTCTGTGTGCTGTACTTACCAAGCAGCCCCAGTCTGTAGATGCTTCGGGTAGCACCTTTGTAGATCACCTAATCTAGACCCATTCTTTTATTTATTTATTTATTTATTTTGAGACAGAGTCTTGCTCTGCATTGACACGATCTCAGCTCACTGCAACCTTTGCCTCCCGGGTTCAAGTGATTCTCCTGCCTCAGCCTCCTGAGTAGCTGGGATTACAGGCATGCGCCACCACACTCGGCTAACTTTTGCATTTTTAGTAGAGACAGGGTTTCTCTGTGTTGGCCAGGCTGGTCTCCAATTCCCGACCTCAGGTGATCCGCCTGCCTCGGCCTCCCAAAGTGCTGGGATTACAGGTGTGAGCCTCCGTGCCTGGCCTAATCTGGACCCATTCTTTTCATTCTGGAGGTCCAGAGAGGGAGAATGACTGACTGGAAACCCTGGAGGAAGGGTTTGGAACCCAGGTCTCTGGAGTCTTCACATACTAAATTGCCTTTCCTCAGAGGGGTGTCTGTTCCTTGGCCTTCAAGGGGACCAGAATAAGTCTCACCAAGACACACCTTCCCTTTCCCTTGCCTGAATTAGGATGCTTTTAGTTGTAAACACTGCAAACCCAGCTCAAAGTGGTTAAAGCAAATTGAAACGTCCAAGGGTGGAATTGTCTTCAGACACCCTGGGTTTAGGTGTCAAACCAGTCCTCCAAGATTAGGGTTGGGGTTGGAGTTGGGGTTAGGGTTAGGGTTAGGGTTAGAGTCAGTATCTGACTCTCTGCAGCTCTCAGTACCCCTTTCTTTTGTGTTGGTTTTACTGTGAGACTGGTCAGGGTTGGCAAAGATGACCCCAGAGCAGGGGCTGGCATGTTTTCCTGTAAAGGGCCATATAGTAAATATTTGAGGCTTTGCGGGCCATATGGTGTGTGTCTGGCGCAACAACATGACTCAGCTCTGCCGTTGTAGTACAAAAGCAGCAGGACATGATATGTAAATGAATAGGTATGGCTGTGGGCCAATCAAACTTTATTCATTGACACTGAGATTTGAATTTCTTGTAATTTTTTTGTCTCACAAAATATTCTTCTTCTTTTTTTTTTTTTCATGTAAAAACCAGCCGGGTATGGAGACTCATGCCTGTAATCTCAACAGGTTGAGAGGCTTAGGCAGGAGGATCACTTGAAGCCAGGAGTTCAAGACCCGCCTGGGGAACATAGCAAAACCCCATCTTTATATTAAAAAAAAAAGTAAAAACTATTAGCTGACAGGCCATCCAAAAACAGGTGGAAGAGGCTGCTGGATTTGGCCTGTAGGCACTGAGGTTACATCTTCCCAGCTCAGCAAGCCTGGCAGAAAGTGTCTGTTTGCCAGTAGTTGGGGGAAAAGTCCCAGGGCAGACTCTCATTGGATAGACTTGGGTCACATGCCCCTTCTTGAGCCAGTCAGAGGCAGAGGGACTTGGTGCTTTCAGGAGATTGGTCAGTGGTAGACACAGCCTGAGTGCTGAGGGTAGGGAAGAGGGAGAAACCCGAAGGAAAAGCCACACTGTTGCCGAAGTTGGAGGCAGTGAGTGCCGGGTGGGTGGAAGTCACAAAAGCCCACTGCAGAGGTGGCAGTAGGGGTGGGATGTTAGCTGTGCCATAAAAGTGCTTTCTGATTCTTCCAGGTGACAACATCCGGGAATTCTTGCTGAGCCTCAGATACTTTCGAATCTTCATCGCCCTGTGGAACATCTTCATGATGTTCTGCATGATCGTGTGAGTCCGACTTGCCCTTTCCTTTCAGTGTCATCTCTTAGTCTCCTTCTCCAGGATGACCTACCTGATGGTCATTCTCTGTTCTTTCAGTCATCACTCTTGTATCCTGCTTTCTGTTTTGTTTGTTTATTTTTTGTTTTGTTTGAGATGGAGTCTTACTCTGTCGCCCAGACTAGAGTGCAGTGGTGCGATCTGGGCTCACTGCAACCTCCGCCTCCCAGGTTCAAGTGATTCTCCTGCCTCAGCCTCCCCAGTAACTGGGACTACAGGTGCATGCCACCACGCCCGGCTGATTTTTTGTATTTTTAGTAGAGACGGGGTTCCATCATATTAGCCAGGATGGTCTTGATCTCCTGACCTCGTGAGTCACCCACTTCAGGCTCCCAAAGTGCTGGGATTCCAGGAGTGAGCCACTGTGCCCGGCCCTGTTTTTTGTTGTTGTTGCCGTTGTTGTTGTTTTTGAGACAGAGTCTTGCTCTGTTGCCCAGGCTGGAGTGCAGTGACGTGATCTTGGCTCACTGCAACGTGCGCCTCCCTGCTTCAAGCAATTCTCCTGCCTCAGCCTCCCAAGTAGCTGGGATTACAGGTGCCCACCACCACACCTGGCTAATTTTTGTATTTTTATAAGAGACAGGGTTTCACCATGTTGGTCAGGCTGGGGGCTCGAACTCCTGACCTCACGTGATCCACCTGCTTTGGCCTCCCAGAATTACAGGTGTGAGCCACCACGCCTGGCCCTGCTTTCTCTTTTCAAAATGAGTGAGGGAACCAGTACCTGAAAGGGTTAAACTCTGTCCCTGCGTCCCCACCGAACCAGGCTGGAACTTTGATTGGAACATGGAGTTCTCCAGCCCCTGGCTATGCCTGGCACCTCTGCAGGGGCTGCCAGGAGATGCCTTTCCTGAGCCCATGGCCCTGTCACCTCTCACCAGCTCTGCTGCATCTGCCGAGGTGGAAAATGTGGTTTAAATGTCCAGCATGCTGCCAGAACCTGCTCTAGCTGGGCTGGAAGCCAGCAGAAATGTATTCAGACTTTATTGTTTTAAATTCTGGCTTTTCATTTTCTCATTAGGCTGAGAAAACTCAAGCAGATTGCCTTTCCATCTAGCATTGGGTCCGTAACTCTGATACTGCTGTTAACGAATTGTGAGATTTGCTGTAAATGGATTTGGGAAAAGACACAATGGGAGAATCTGGTGTTCTTGGCCTCTGTGGGTCCATCCCTGCATACTTCCCCCAGAAAGAAAGAGGACAAAAAGTTGGCTGTCCTGAGCGACTGAGACTCCGAACGTGGGGTTGCTGTGCAGTCCGCGTGCCACCCCAGTGGCTGTTTGCGGAGATGCTTCCAGGACATAGGAGATGTGGGGAGGATGGCATTTCACCCTCATCACAAGGACCATGATGTATTCCCAGAAAGGCCCTTGCCAAGGTATCCTACCTGGCAGAGAGGATCTGAGAGCACGTATGAGGCTTGCCTAGGAACAGAGAAAGCTTGTGAAGAGATCAAGGAACTTGCATGAAAGTGTAGGAATGGCCAGGTGCGGTGGCTCAGGCCTGTAATCCCAGCACTTTGGAAGGCCGAGGTGGGAGAATTGCTTGAGCCCAGGAGTTTGAAACCAGCCTGGGCAGCATAGTGAAACTCCATGTTTACCAAAAAATTTAAAAATTAGCCGAGTATAGTGGCGCCTGCCTGTAGTTCCAGCTCCTTGGGAGGCTGAGGTGGGAGGATCACTTGAGCCCTAGAGGCAGAGGTTGCAGTGAGCTGAGATCCTGCCACTGCACTCCAGCCTGGGCAACAGAAGAAGACCCTGTCTCCAAACAAATAATAAATAATCAAGACCTAAAGGACAAGAAGACGTTTGCCATTTGCAGAGCTGGAGAAAAGCATGGTGGCACAGGAAGTAGCATGTTCAAAGGTCCTGGGGCAGGGAAGAAGTTAGCATTCTTCCCTTATTCTCGTCTTTGCAGAGGTCCTGGGGTAGGGAAGAAGTCAGCATGCTTCTCTCATTCTCGTTTTTGCAAAGGTCCTGGGGCAGGGAAGAAGTCAGCCTGCTTCCCTTATTCTCATCTTCGCAAAGGTCCTGGGGCAGGGAAGAAGTCAGCCTGCTTCCCTTATTCTCGTCTTCGCAAAGGTCCTGGGGCAGGGAAGAAGTCAGCCTGCTTCTCTCATTCTCGTCTTTGCAGAGGTCCGGGGCAGGGAAGAAGTCAGCATGCTTGTCTCATTCTCATCTTTCCTGTGCACCTGCTTCATCATCCTCTCCTGTTTGACCAATATCTTCACTCCCTCATCTGCCAGCCTATGACCAGAACAGCAGCCTCGGGCGTCCTCCCAGCTCAACTTTCCAAGATCAGTGTAGTCAGTAGCCCAGGGTCCTGATTTTGTTTCCTGGGGCAGAGTCTGGTTGACTCACCTTGGCGTCACTCAGGTCCATTTGGGGTGGGGGTTCTTGATTCTGCTATAACCACTTAGGTCAAGGGTCATCAGACCACAGGCCACATCTCCCCACTGCCTGTTTTTGTGAATGAACTTCACAAAAGTTCATGTGTGTGGCTGCTTCTGTGTCACAGCGGTGGAGTTGAGTTGTGTGACAGAGACCACATGGCTCGCAGAGCCAAAACTGTTAGTAAACAGTTGCCCGTTACAGAGAAAATGAGCCAACCCCTGACCCAGGCCAGCTCTTTCACTGGGGGCCATGGGTGAGAGAAGATTTTCTCAAGAAAGGGCTGTCTCAGAGAGGGAGTGACTGACTTTCCCAGGACATTTAAAACCTGGAAATCACCTAAGTGTCCAAGAACAGGAGAAGGATCAGGTAACTTGAAGGATACCCATGTGACCAGCTGTCATGATACCGTCACTGATGATGTGCCAGAAGGTTCTGTCTGCATGGGGAAAATGAAACGTTCTGAAAGTGAAGAAGGCCGGAGGGTACTCATCTGTGCAGCCTGACTTCAGCTGTGTAACGTGCATGCAGTAACCATGGATAAACCCTAAATGAGTGCCTTAAGTATGGGAGTGAAACCCTGTTTAGCGCGGGAGTTGGAAGGATCCACTCCAGATGGGGTAGAGAGGGAACCCTGCAGCAGTTGCTGAGGAAATTGGCAGACCCTGGGCATGGTTCAATATTCCCTGTGCCCATTTATTTTTATTCTTATTTTTTGAGATGGAGTCTTGCTGTGTCACCCAGACTGGAGTGCGGTGGCACCATCTCGGCTCACTGCATCCTCCACCTCCCGGGTTCAAGTGATTCTCCTGCCTCAGCCTCCCAGGGAGCTGAGACTACAGGCACGCACCACGACACTTGACTAATTTTTCTACTTTTGGTAGAGATGGGATTTCATCCTGTTGACCAGGCTGGTCTCGAACTCCTGACCTCAAATTATTTGCCCGCCTCAGCCTCCCAAAGTGCTGGAATTACGGACGTGAACGTCACCACGCCCAACCTCCCGGTGCCCGTCTTCTGTGTTGTTGGAGCTTTGGAAATTTTTTTTTTTTTTTTTTTTGAGGACGGAGTCTTGCTCTGTCTCCCAGGCTGTAGTGCAGGTGGCCGCAATCTTGGCCACTGTAAGCTCCGCCTCCTGGGTCACGCCATTCTCCTGCCTCAGCCTCCCAAGTAGCTGGGACTACCACGCGCACACCGGCGTGGCTAATTTTTGTATTTTTAGTAGAGGATGGGGTTTCACCATGTTAGCCAGGATGCTCGTTGATCTCCTGACCTTGTGATCTGCCTGCCTCGGCCTCCTTAGGTGCTGGGATTCACAGGCATGAGCCACCGGTGCCTGGCCAAAGCTTTGGAAATTTTAAGAAGTTATGAAAAGTCTGAAATAAGGGGAGAAACGTCCCTGAGTATTTAGGGATTGGTGGCACGTCATCTATAACCTTACATTGAAACACATCAAAAATACGAGTAAATGAAATAGATACATGGATAGTACGTGGGTACAGCAAAGTGTTTAATTGCAAGAATGTAGGTGGTGGCAGTATGTTTCAACACAACCTTCTATGTGTTGAAATTTTCATAAAATAACAGGAAAAGTTAGGAGAAAAATGAACCATGGAGAGAGTTTACAATAAAACGCGGAAGTCGTGCTTCTCAATCCAGTATTTTCTAGAATATTCCACAGGATTGTGCAGCCACCATCTTCTATTCCAATTTCAGAAACGTTTTCATCAACACAGAAAAAATCGCGTGCCCACTTGGCAGTCACTCCCCATTCCCCCTCCCTAGCCCTCGGCAACAACTCATCTGCTTCCCTGTCTCTGGATTTGCCTCATGTGACAGTTTATATAAATGGAGTCATACCACTGCATGGCCTTTTGTGCCTGGCGTCTCTTCGCTCAGCATCATGTTTTGAGGTTCATCCATGTTGTAGCGTGGAGCGGTGCTCATTCCCTTTCATGGCAGAATCATATTCCCTTGTATGACTGTACCCCAGTTTCCATCTATCAGTTGTGGATAGTTGGATGTTTGTATTTTTTACCTATTATGAATAATGGTGACAAGAACATTCACGTACAGTTTTTGTGCAGATTTATGTTTTTAGTTATTAGCTATATAGGAGTGAAATTGCCTGGGTATATGATCACTCTACGTTTATAATGTTTCTTTGTTTTTTTGGAGACCAGAGTCTCACTTCTGTTGCCAAGGCTGGAGTGCAGTGGCAACGTTCTTGGCTCCCTGAAACCTTCCACTCCTCAGTTCAAGCGATTCTCCTGCCTCAGCCTCCCGAGTAGCTGGATTACAGGCATGCGCCACCACGCCTGACTAATTTTTTGTATTTTTAGTAGAGATGAGGGTTTCACCATGTTGTCCAGGCTGGTCTTGAACTCCTGACCTCATGGATCCACACGCCTTGGCCTCCCCAAAGTCTGGGATTACAGGCGTTGAGCCACTGTGCCAGCCAGTTTGAAGGTTTTGATTTGCATTTCCTTGATAGTTAATGATATTACACATATTTTCTTTTTTGTTTTTTTTTTGGAGACAGAGTCTCTCCTCTGTCACCAGGCTGGAGTGCAGTGGCGTGATCCTGGCTCACTGCAAGCTCCGCCTCCCGGGTTCAAGCGATTCTCCTGCCTCAGCCTCCCGAGTAGCGGGATTACAGGCATGTGCCACCACTCCCAGCTAATTTTTGTGTTTTTAGTAGAGATGGAGTTTCACCATCTTGGCCAGGCTGGTCTCGGACTCCTGACCTCGTGATCCACCGCCTCGGCCTCCCAAAGTGCTGGGATTACAGGTATGAGCCACTGTGCCCGGCCGATATTGAACATATTTTCATGTACCTATTGGCCATTTGTCCATCTCCTTTGAGGAAATGTCTTCTTAAGATTCTCTGCCCTTTTTGAAAATTGGGTTATTGCTGATCCATAAGGGTTCTTTGTGTATTCTCATTATCAGTTCATTATCACATGCGTATTTTGCAAGCATTGTCTCCTGTTTCATATGTTGTCTTTTCACTTTCTTGATGGTGTCATTTTAAGCACAAAAGTTTTTTATTGTGAATGGCCAGGCACAGTGGCTCCTGCCTGTAATCCCAGCACTTTGGGAGGATGAGGCAGTTGGATCACTTGAGGTCAGGAGCTTGAGACCAGCCTGACCAACATGGTGAAACCCCATCCCTACTAAAAGTACAAAAATTAGCCAGGCGTGGTGGCGGTCGCCTGTAATCCTAGCTACTCTGGAGGCTGAGGCAGAAGAATTGCTTGAACCCAGGAGTCGGAGGTTGTAGTGAGCCGAGATTGCCCGACGGCACTCCACCCTGAGCAACAGAGCGAGAGTCCATCTCAAAAAAAAAAGTTTTTTATTGTGATGAAGTTGAATTTATGTTTTTTTCTTTTTGTCACTTGTGCTTTGCGTATTATAGTAAGAAATCATTGCCTAACCCAAGGTTACAAAGATGTACGTGTAAGTTTTCTTCCAAGAGTTTTGTAGTTTGGATTCTGGTAGGTAGTTAGGTCTGTGATCTGTTTTGAGTAAATTTTTTTATATGGCGTTAAGCAGGGGTCCATCTTTATTCTTTTGCATGTGGAAATCCAGCTGTTTCTGCTCTCTTATTTTTTTCAGATAACCTTTTTATTTTGGAATGAGTTTAGATTTGTGGAAATGTTGCAAAGAATATACCGAAAGTTCTTGTATGTATCTTTTGTTTAACAGGTGTACCACCTTCCCTCATAGGGTGATGGTGTTGGCTGGGTGCAGTGGCTCACGCCTGTAATCCCAGCACTTTGTGGGGCTGAGGCAGGGGGATCACTTGAGGTCAGGAGTTTGAAACCAGCCCAGCCAACATGGTGAAACCCCGTTTCTACTGAAAATACAAAAATTAACCTGGCTTGGTGGCAGGTGCCTGTAATTGCAGCTATTCAGCAGGTTGAGGCAGGAGAATCGCTTGAACCTGGGATACAGAGGTTGCAGTGAGCCGAGATCGCACCACTGTACTCCAGCCTGGGCGGCAGAGCACGACTCTAAAAAAAAAAGAGTATATACGTCTTTTAACTGTGTCGTTCAATATTGTTCATTATATTCACAGGTGGATCACAGGTTACTTGAAAAAATCAGGCAATCATGTAAAATCATCTAACTAATAGTCATGTAAAATAATCTCTGACAATATTTTTAAAACGATCACGTCGTTTCAAAATCCTCACAGACATTTCTGCCCTCTGACTTCTCCAGGCTGTTCGGCTCTTGAATCCCAGCGATGAAACCAGGAACTCACTTTCCCAGGATGCCGAGTCTCCATTCCTCCATTCCTGATGACTTCAAGAATGTTCTTGACCAGAGAGCCGACAACCTTCCCAGAAAGCCCAAGCTTGTGGTGCGTGGAAAAGTGTTCGCCGAGATAGGCATGGCTTCCCCGCCACGTCCCTGTTTTCAAAGATAGTTTCACTTTAGTCTCTGAATTGGAATGCTGTCTACTGAAGGGGTTTCAGGAGGGTTTATATAAGGGACTGTGATGAAATTGCATTCCCCATAGATAAAAGAAAAATCATTTTTATCCAGAGATCTGAGCAGAAGGATTGGCTTGTAAGTTTAACACAGCTGTGTTTTTGGACATTCAGTGTTACTTACTGAGTCTGACAGCCTTTGGGCCCAGCCAGGGTCCTGTTAACAAATTCTTTTCACATCCCAACAGGGTCTGCTTGGCCACTCAGTACAGCTGCGATTAACCCTAAAGCTTTAAGGAACGGGCCACCTGTAATAGGGACACCAGCCTTCTGGTATAGAAACTAAATTATTAGCAAGAGCGTTGAGCTAGTTCCTGGTGCAGTGTTTCCACAGAAGACATATGGAGCAGTTGTGGGAATGTTAAGGGAAATTTTCCTCTGCCTTGACCCCTTTGTTAAATAAAATGACTTTGGGAGCCATTCATTGTACAGTTGCAAGAATGAGAGTGATTTTATGATGTGGTGACATTGGGACCGTGTTCTAAAACCTTGGGTTTCTGAGTCTGCTTTTTGAGTAGGTGATTTTGAGGTTGAAAAACCAGGGGCCTGCATCTAGGAAATAGAGCGTTTTCCAGAAGCTTCTTTGAAAGGGAATCCTGGTTTCGTTGCCAAAATGAAACGCCCGGGGTTGGCGCTGAATCCCACAGCTGTGTGATTTGCTCGTTGAGTTTTTGTTGTCTGCTTTTGTTTGTTGGTTTGTTTATACCAGTAAGAATGAGCCCGAATGTAGGTGGTTTTTGAAATCCTGACTTGGAGGTAAACCTGGAGGAAGGAAAAAAAGTAAATATGCAGGGTTTTAGGACTGAGTAGCCTTGAAAATAAACCTCATTTCTAAAAAGGACCTTTTGTTTATACTTTTCTTTTTTTTTAAAGCAAGAAGTCAATTTCCAACCTGACTCCTTTTGAATTACCCTGCGGGAAAAACCTAGGATTCATTTTGGAGACCGTGAAAAAGAAAAGGGTCAGTGGTAGAGTTTCCTTTTTGGATTTAGCTCAATAAATGATGGTCAATAATTGGGCAAATGGGGCTCGGCGCAGTGGCCCATACCTGTAATCCCAGCACTTGGGAGGCCAAGGCAGGCGGATCACTTGAGGTCAGGAGTTCGAAACTAGCCTGGCCAACATGGTGAAAACCTATCTGTACTAAAAATAGAAAAATTAGCCAGATATGGTGGCGTGCGCCTATAATCCCAGCTACTTGGGAGGCTGAGGCATGAGAATTGCTTGAACCTGGGAGGTGGCACTGAGATTGAGCCACTGCACTTCAGTCTGGGTGACACAGTGAGATTCTGTCTCAAAAAAAAAAAAAGAATTGAGCAAGTGGAATTTTGACTGGAGCTGCTCCTAAAAGTATTGAAAGAGTCATTGCTAATGGTGGGCTGTTGCTAGACCAGGGTCAAGTCCACTTTTGCTGCCTCTCAGGTTGTAGAATTCTCCTTGATCACTTCTGTAAATTCATTTGCTTGCCGTATCCCAGCCAAGCATCACCCCATGGTCTGTAAGTAGCAGAGGTCGGAGCTGCTGGGTCTCGCTTTGTTGAGGTCGGTGTCCTCCTCGGAACAGGCATGCCAAGATCTTGGCTGAGTCCCTCGCAAGCCAGATGAATGGTGTGAAGAAACCTTCCTGCCCTATTCAGACTGGCGCGGAGATCTCAATGAGGCGAGGCATTTGTCCATTATGGGGATGAATCGTGCTCTCAGAAGAGAATGCTGTCATTGAGGTTTTGTTTCAATAGTCCTCTTTTTCTCCAGAGAACTGTCATCTCATTGTTAATAATAGCAGCGTGGCTTTTTCAGATGCTAGTTGGTGGCTGCTGTACCTTTTAAAAATGGAATCTCATGGTTGTGTCTCTTAAGGAAGCTTTTCAAGAACCTTCACTGGCCCCAGAGGTTATCAGAGTTTGAAGTTTGGGTACCTAGTGTCTCATAGCGTTTAAGCACTAATGTTCTGGGTCAGTTAGGTGTGAGTTCAAATCCCATCTCAGCTCATTCTGAGTGGGACCTTGGCTAATTGCTTTCTCCTCTCCAAGCCTCAGCTTCCACATCTCTAAAATGGGCCTGCAAGTTGTGTGTGCCTAAGGTGGTTGTAAGTTTCGATGAACTCGAATGCGGCTGAGTGCCTGAGAGCGCCTGTTGCTGTGGGTATCATCACTGTGTGCGTTTTCTGTCTTCTCATCCACTTTTCTTTGTGCAGTCTGCACACGCACCATTAAAGACTGATGACAGCATTTAAAAAAATTGCACACAGAGGCCAGCGCGGCGGCTTCCAGCACTTTGGGAGGCCGAGGCAGGTGGATCACGAGGTTAGGAGTTCGAGACCAGCCTGGCCAACATGGTGAAACCCCGTCTCTACTAAAAATGCAAAAATTAGCTGGGTATGCTGGCATGCCCCTGTAATCCCAGCTACTCAGGAGGCTGAGGCAGAGAATTGCTTAAAAGCCTGGGAGGTGGAGGTTGCAGTGAGCTGAAATCATGCCACTGCACTCCAGCCTGGGTGACAGAGCTTGTGGGAATGTTAAGGGAAATTTTCCTCTGCCTTGACCCCTTTGTTAAATAAAATGACTTTGGGAGCCATTCATTGTACAGTTGCAAGAATGAG